TTCCCATTCCAATGAAACTCAATGAAATTATCCGAAATCATGCAAAATGCACGAGCGGAAACAAACTTTTCAGTCACACATTTGTGAGGTGGTTATATGATTTAATACTCACTGTTGCACATGTCTTCATGTAGCTAAACACTCTTGTCACAATGCTGACTTTTTCGTCGCGAACTACTGCATAAGGTGCTGTAACCGACACGAAGAAAGGCCGAGAGACGGCGAGAGAAGAAGGTTCGGCCACGCCCATGCCATGTGTCGACGACATTGCAAAAGCACTGAGATGCCACGAGGTGATTGAATCAGGGACTCGAGCTGTGATTATCCTTTCACCGTTTGAWTTACTGGTAAATACCAAACAAATATAAGTTGTTGTTCTATATTATATCAATCAATATTAGCTGTAATGTAAGGTTAATTAGTTTGAATACTTCAGAAAAGAAAAATTAACCCAATATTTCAATACGGATTCGACAAAACAGTGCTTTAAAGATATCCTCTTTTGCAGGCAGGTMTTGAATCTGAGCTCTCTGARGACCATCTGYCTGGTGGTTATCATGACAAATGGAGCTCAATATTTACGATTTCTGCTGTTAGTATTAATATCTAGAACACCAATTCCCACCTTACAGTTTCCTCTGTCCAAAGCCATGTTTCAAGTTCTTGGCCCTGTTGTTGTTTGGACTTTGTTAAGGTTTGCTGTAATCCTGCCTGCTGACGATTTCCTGGAACTTGGCGTCGAAGTGATCGTCCGATCCTTACAGGCCAAAACGGCTGCCTGATCCGCGAATCAATCCAGAACGGCGGTGGGATGTTCCAAGACGATGACCTGTTATTACCACGTGGTGGTTCTGTAAGTTGGAAGAACGTAACACTCACCAAAAAGAAATAATAAATGGCCCAACAAATGTATTATTCTTACAAAGCTATATATAAGTTTTCATAGTATCATGTAAACGTCTCTTGGTGATAGCATACCCGRTGAAATTTTCGAGTCGAGATAAATTTCTACTAGAGATACATTTCTAATTAATGCAATCAGTGGCGACAGACCTCACTTACGATTTCAGCTGCCATATCATTCACTTTCTGACTTTTGTTCGGAAAGTATGATTGGGCCATGGTTCACCATAAATTGGAATGCCCGTAAATTCATAAACTGTACAATTGGTCACGTTTTAAGAAACTTACCAGGAACAGCGAAAGTCGGTGAATCAGACAAATACACAAAACCAGCATCCTGAAAATAATGATAAGTTTGATTTTTTAGAAATCAAGCTCCGTCAGCATTTACGAACAATCGATCTCCCAAAAAAAACCGGTCTGCGTTGTTGAGCAACGTTTCGCTGGAAACAAAAGGGATGTATGGATAATTTGTACCCCGTTGCACTCTGTAATTTATGTTCCAAACAATTTAAGATAGCCTTTATCCAGTTCCATCTTCAATGTCTGCATCAGTCTCAACATTTTCCAAACAATATTCCAACACCATGTTATGATTTTTTTTTTTGCAATTTTGACCGTGCTTCATACTTACATAGAAAGTGTTGTCTGCATCCTTGATCTTTGTGTCCAATCTCAACGAATTCCTGGCAGGGCCAACGTCTAGTTTCTCACGAAAGCCAAGTACCTTTAAAACAAATGTACTTATTGTCGATAAATTTCAAACCAGAAATCTATTCATCCAATAATATTTGTGACAGTTTACTTGCTGAGGCAGAAAAAGCAAATCAAGCCAGGTTTACCTTGTCTACATTGATATCGTAAGTTTCTTGTCTTAAGCGTTTATCAATAGCACTCAACACCACGGTGGATCCTGGGGCAGCTTTTAATGTGATTTGAACCCTTTCTCCTGGCTTACGATGTTTGTTGTTAAATCTTACTACAACCTAAAGAACAGGAAATCATTGTTAACAAAATTAGCAAGAATGTAAAGATGCGCGCCTACCAGGGTAAGTACAATCATGGGCAATGTACATTTGGACACGATAAACAGTTACTCGATGTAACACATCTAGTTTAATCTACTGAAGAGATGGCCTTACAGTCCCTCTCCCAATGCCACCCCACCCCACCAGTTAATGTTGTCTTTGTACACAATGTCATGTTACTGAAGCATGAAAGAAACAAATGCCACTCAACATTGTACTGTTGGCCAGGKTGGTGCACAATATTCTACCGGGTGGTCGTTGCAACGTCCCAAGTGAAATGTCTAGGATTGTACTTACAGCTGCTAACTTTTTTCAGATCTTTCAGACTAACCTGGTTTCTTAGTTTTCCTTGAACTTTRAGGCTTATAGAGTCAGGTACAACTTCACCATCTTTCCTCATGTAATACACCAGCAATCGACAAGAAGACACTGGTAATGTCTGTGGCAATGAAAAACCCAGAGATCCTTCGGCAGTTGTTTGGCTGGTGCGTTTGAAAGAAGATAATCGCGTTTTACCAGAAACATGTATTTGGCC